CAACGTCGACGCTGACGAGCGCGTCGGAGACGTCACCGGTGACCCTGTGACCCTGGAGAAGCCCCCAGGCCCCTGGCGCGCACATTTCTGCGATCCACACCCGCCCGCCCTTCTTGGCCGCCACGTCGCCAGAGTCCTGCCATGCCTGACAGGCAGAGTTTGTGGCAGCCGCGGTGTCTTGCAGCGAGGGACAACAGGCCATCAGCATCCAGGACACCATGCCAGGGAATCTCATCGTGTCCCAATCCTGCCTTACACCCGACCGCGCACCCAGCCCCTGCCCCCCAGAAACAACGAACACACATGCACACACACACACACATGCATATGCACCCCCCTTGCAAACCGCATGCCAATGCGCGGCATCCTCGCCTGCCCCAGCCCCGGGGCTGGGCCCACCTTGCTGTCGTTCCTGACTTTCACAGTGAAGCGGTGCCACAGTGGCGCCACCCTCCTGGCGTCCGCGACGCTCATGAAGTAGGGCGCCCCCACCACGTCCCCGCGGCGCCCCTTGGGGCCGGCCAGCTCGTCGTTTCGAGGCGCTATCTCGGGGGCGTTTCGCAGCGCCAGGTCATTGTGCACTCCCTTTGGGGGGGAGTGACATTTGGCGATGTTTTTCTAAAGAATTGGCTGTGTTGTTTGCATAAGTGGCCAAGGTCAGGTGGTGTCTAGGCAAGGTGTCGCTGTGTTGGGTTGCCTGCAGGAGCTCGGAGGGGCTGATCGAGTGGTGTGCCTTGCGTGCAGCTAGGCGTGCCTGAGCATTTCACGGGGCAGAGCTTGGGTGTCGTTGCGCTGGAAACGCTGTGTGCTTTGATACAGGATGGATCCATGTAAAAATTCCTGGACCACTGGGCACTCATAAGCGTGCATGCAAGCGCATGTGCGCTTGGGCGTCGTCAAGTCTGCACAAGATGCCACACCTGCCCCTGCAAACCCAGGGTTTGACACTCGCCCATACACAAACAAAAGCTCCTCGCAGGACCCAGCGCGCACCCGCATGTAGTCGTAGTTCGCAGCCATGGCCCACCCTTTGGTCAGCTTGAACTCGTCAGGCGTGAAGGGCCGCAGCAGCAGCATGTCTGCGTCGAGGAGCAGCAGCCACTCCTCCTCGGCATCTTGGTGGTGCGCCAGCCAGTCGCTGACGGCGACGGGCTTGTTGTAGGCCGCATATGAGTCCCCCAGCTCCTTGTTATAGGACACCTGGGCAGCGCCAAGGTTGGTTTGCAGGCGACGGCCGCCCGGTTAGGGGCGGCTGCACTGGTCGGCAAGCATTCTGAGCGCGCGGCGCCGGCCGCGCGCTGTACGCGTACGTGTCCTGGTGGGCATTTGCTGCAGTTGCACGTTCCTCCAGCAGCAAGACGCAGCAGGTTGCGGCCGACAGGCGCCGCAGGCCGTTTGTTCACCTCTGGCGCAAAGTGGGTGTCAACATAATCAAGCAGTCCCTTGGGGTAGGTCACTCGGTCCTTCTCATGGCAATTCGCCACACGCGTGAACGCGCCCGGCTGCCCCGACTCGCGCCACGCGAAGGCGGCGGCGATGGCCTGCCAGTCCTGGTATTTGCCGCAGCCCGTCAGCAGCAGCGTGCGCACGCTGCCCTGGCGCCTGCTGATCTGGGGCGCCGGGACGGCAGCGTCGCTGCGGGCGGGCAGACATGGCACCAGCAGCGCTGCCACCGCCAGTGCCAACAGCGCCCGGCCTAATAACATGATGCCGAACTCATAAGCCTGATTTGGATTTCGGCAGCGCGGGTGACCCGTACGATGCACGGACTGATTGTGTCACGATTGATCAGCGGCAGATCGGTTGGATGGCCAAGTGGCTTCGTTTGCAAATGAAAAGATTGGACCCACGAGCGCCGTTCTCGGTGCGAGCGGTGCCAAGTGTACTGGTGCCATGTCAGCTGTGTGCAGGACAAGCCTGCATGTTCAACTTGCTGGTACCAAAACGAGCCATGCAGCTTGCCGATGTGACAACAGCATTGGTGGTGACAATGTTACATGCCGTCTGGGTGGCCCTGCACCACCAATGGACTTCAAGTCGAGGCAAGTCGCCGAGGTCGCCCAGTCACCTCCGGAAAAATGCGGGCGCAACTGCTTTTCTCTGCCGCGCACTCGGTCGCGCAGCGACTTTTGCGAGCCGGTCTGGCCTGTGTGGCCTGGGATGCCGCTCCTCGGGCCTTGCACCACCGTCCAGTGGCCTTTTGTGCTGCCGATCAAACAGCAAATGCTGCTCTTCACCGCCGTGAGCAAACTTGTCTGGTGCTGCAGGTGCAAGGGCCGGCGCAGCAGCAACTCCCTCCTCACTAACGGCCTCCTGCTGCTGCCCTTGCTGGCCTGGCGCTGCCCCTCCCGCCTCAACCCCTTGATGCTCAAGTTGCTGCTGCCCCTGCTCCATCCGCGCCTCGTCATACCACTGCCGCTGCTGAGGCGGCTGCTCTTCTTGCTGGTGCTGCTGCTGCTGCTGCTGTTGCTGCTGCTGCTGTTGGTGTTGCAGCTGTTGCAGCTGGTGGTAGTGGTGGTCCTGCTGCTGCCTCTGCGGCAGCTGCTGCTGCATCTCCGTTTCCTGCTGTTGTGTCGTGTGAGACTGCTCTTCCGGTCGCGCCTTCACGGGCGCCTCCACCACCACCGCGCCCTCCTCCTCGCTGCGCTCACACACAGGGCTGCACGCCCCGCCCCGCCCGGCCGCGGGTGGCAGCGCAGCGCCAGCACCGGCTGCAGCCGCGCCCCCGGAAGGTGACCTCAGGAAGGCGGCGCCCAGCGCGCTGAGTGTGGACCAGGTGGTTGTGTACGCCGCCTGGAACCCGCCACACAGGATGAATGCAGGGCTGGGGCGCCCGCTGGCCGGCGTCGTCGCCGGCGTCCGCAGCGCGCCGCCCGCCCCTGCCGGCCGCGGCGTGGCCGCCGCTTCGAACTCCGCCGTCGCCGCCGCGAGCGGTGGCTGGGGCGACGCCGGCAGGCTACCCGCCCTCGTGGTGCCGCCGAGAGGTTGCAAGCCAGCGCTGGATGCAGGAATTGCGGTGTGACCCACGGCCGCATCTGGGCCTCCCGGCCCGCCGCCGTAATCGGCACACTCGCTGATGTCATTGACAAAGGCCGCAACAGCGTCGTCATCTTCTTGGTCCGCCAGGTCAGCAAGCAGAGAGGGCGCAGGGCCTGCGCCGCTGAATTCCTGGTACTGCTGCTGCTGCTGCTGCTGCTGCTGCTGCTGCTGCTGCTGCTCTTGCTGCTGCTGCTGCTGCTGCTGCTGCTGCTGCTGCAACACAGCCCCCGAACGCAGGTGTTTCTCCTGCGCTGCCTGCAAGTCAGCGTCAGTATCACCCTCTGCCTGCCACCCCTCCAAATCCTCTCCTCCTGCAGCACCACCCTGCTCCTGCTCATTCTGCTGCGCCCGCACTGGCAGTTGCCCGCCCGCTGCACCTCCCGCCCCTGTTGCAGGCTCATGCGCCGCAGTCGCTCCCACCGTCGCCACCACCGGCGCTGGGCGCCGGCGCCTGACGGGGTCAGCGCTCAGCAGCGCTTCCGCCAATTTGTGATCTATCAGGCCCACATCGCTGTTCTTGCTACCACGAGTGCCGCGGCCCACAGCCCGGCCGGCAGCCATCAAGATGTGCAGTGGAAGGTCTGCCGGTGCCGCGGCGGCGGCGGCCGCCGGGGAGGGCTGCGCGCCATGATTATGCACACGCTCGACTGTGGCAGCGGCTCCGCCGCGCGGCGCGGCCGTGGCCGTGACGGCTGTTTCGGGCGTCGAGGCTCCCTTGCGCCCCTGCCCTGCGCGGCGCGTTTGCGGACTGGCTGCCTTGGCGCCCACCGCTGCGCCGGCCACCGCAAGCCCAGGCGCGGCGTCAGGCCGCAACGTCATGGCAGCCGGCGGGCCTCGGCTGCGCACCGCGGTCAGCGCGCGACGTGGCCGCGCGACCCGCGCGCTTGTTGTCGCCGCCATTGCTGCTGCTGCTGCTGCTGCTGCTGCTGCTGCTGCTGCGGCGGCGGCGGCGGCGGAGGCTCGCGTTTGTCGCTGCGACCCCAACCCTTCTTGTGCTGGAGCAGCTTCGCGCACACCTGGTCCTTCGACCGACTTGCCCTTGGCGGCCGCAGCATGGACGTCGCCAGCGGCGGCCCTGGCCGCCTTGGGCGCCGGATCCCGCCCTCTGCCGGCCTCACCGGCCCTGCCCCGCTTCCTGCCGCGCTGCGCAGAGGCAAGCCCGTCGCCGCAGGCGGCAGCGTCGCTCCCCTCCTCTTGCGTGGCCCCTGGCCCCTCCGCCTCCATCAAGACCGCCTGCTCAGCTGCCGCGTCGGACGGATGCTGCTGCCCGAAACCCGGCGCCTTTGCAGTCGCGAGCCCTCGGGCACTGTCCACACCGATTGGCCCTCCCTCACTGCCTCGAACCTGGACCCCTGGATAGCCTGCCATGGCGGCGGCGCCACCGTCGTCCCCGCACGCGCCAAAGCTTACCGCCGCGCCCAGCCAAGCGCCGCCGCTTCCGCTGGCGTCGCCCAGGGCGGCTCCCTCAGTTATGCCCCCGTCGACGCGCGCCGGGACGAGCGCCAATCGGAAGCTGCCGCGAAGCTGCGTCACGTCGCTCGGCGGCGTCTCCGGGACCTCCTCATTGTCAAACCCCCACGTGCCTGCCGCGGCCGCAGCCGCTGCTGACGCTGACGCCCCTACCTCCGCGGATGTGGCTCCACCGCCGACGAGCCAGGGTGCGGCTGGGCTGGGCGCAGCCTCTGCCTGGGCGGGCGGCCCGCAAGCGACAGCAACCACGTTTGCGTCCACAGCGCTTGGATTGTGTGGCGGCTGCTGCCGCTGCCGCTGCCGCTGCTGCTGCTGCTGCTGCTGCTGCTGCTGCTCAATGGCGGGGCTGAGGCCAGCCACGCCCGCAGCTGCATCGGCCCAGCCACTCAGCGCCTGGTGAGGGTCCTGCTCTTGCTGCTGTTGCTGCGTCGCCCGCTTATGCTCGTTTGGCTGCTGCTCCTGCTCCTGCTCCTGCTCCTGCTCCTGCTCCTGCTCCTGCTCCTGCTCCTGCTCCTGCTCCTGCTGCTCTGGCTGCTGCGCGTGCTGCTGCTCGTCCGACTGCTGCAGCAGCTGCTGCTGCTGCTTCTGCTCCCATGGCTGCTGCTTGTGTGGCTGCTGCAGCCGCTGCTGCTCCTGCCCCTGCTCCTGCCCCTGCTCCTGCTCCTGCTCCTGCTCCTGCTCCTGTGGCTGCTGCGCGTGCTGCTGGTCGTCTGCGTGCAGCAGCAGCTGCTGCTGCTGCTTCTGCTGCTGTAGCTGCTGCGCTTGCTGCTGCTCGCATGGCTGCTGCAACGGCTGCTCCTCCTGCTCCTGCTCCTGCTGCTGTGACCGAGTCTGCCGCACCTGCACATCCTGCTGCTGCTCCCGCTGCTGCCGCGGCGCCGATGTTGGCTCCTGCTCCAGCAGCTCCCGCAGACAAGGCAGCCCCGAGATTCTCGGGACCAGGCCGTCGGGCCCCAGGCCCAGCTTGAACAGGGCCTCCTCCCTTGCGCCCAACACGCCGTGCCTTGAGCGGCCGGCGCCTGCCTTGGTAATGGGCGCTGCAAGGGGGGAGGGCGGCGACGAGCCCACGTGCTGCGGGCCCTTCGCGGCGGCGGCAAACAGGTTGCTGCCCCTGAGGCCGCTGGTCGGGCGCTGCTGCTGCTGCTGCTGCTGCTGCTGCTGCTGCTGCTGCTGCTGCTGCTGCTGCTGCTGCTGCAAGTGCTGCTGCTGCCGCTCCTGCTGCTGCCTGCGCTGTCGCTGTTGCTCCGCAGGCTGCGCGGGCCCCTGCAGCTCCCGGCCGCGCTGTCCTGCTGGCAGAAGCCTCAATCGGGAGACGGGTGACGCCGGCTCCGCGGCCTCACACCTAACTGCATTGGTGAAAGCATTCACCGGTAGGGGGGACCGGCTGGCGCCAGAGTCGACCGAGCACTCCGCCAGCGCCTCTGCAGCAGCCAAAGCCAGCACGCGGGGCGATTAGGGGTGAGCATGGAGCTGCAGAAAGCTAAGCGCCCCCTCTAGCCCGCGGTGGCCGGCCTTCCGGGCCCCCAACTGGCCCCTCTAGCTGGCTGTAAACCAACGCAGCAGCCGCCCGCCAGCTCACGCTGCCAGCATGCAAGCCGCAAGCGCCTTCGGCCTGCGCGCGTGGCGGCCGCCCGCTCGCTGCCACTATCTCCATGCCTGTGCCGCCCACCCACACCGTCAACAAGACGCCCCCCTCGCCCCAGCCGCTGGCTTGGGTTGTTCACTCACTGTTCTCCTGTTCGACGTCAGCGGGCAGCCCCTCCCCAGGGCCAAACACCAGCACACGCCGCTCGACCTCACACTCGGAGGCAGCGCCCCCGCCGCCACCGCCGCCGCAACCCATGGCTGCACGCGGCCGCCGCCATGCCTCCGACACGTCCGGCCGCCGCGCCGCCGACGGCTCCCGGCGCCCCGGCGCGCCGGCCGCGAGCGCGGCGGAGCGCGGCGCGCTGCGGTCCGCCGCGGCGTCGAGCAGCGACCCAAGCCGCCGGGGCACATAGCCGTCAGCGGCGCCCCCGGCCCCGCTCCGCACGCTGGCTTCGAC